ACAACATGGCTGGGTTGTGATGGGACACTCAGACTGTGGTGAGTCATCCAGACCCTGGTGGGACATCCTGACTCCAGTGGCAAGGCCAGACCATGGTGGAACAGTGGGACTGGGTCATGGCAACGTGGCTGGATCACGGTGGGACACCCAGACCTCAATGGGACACCTGGACCTCAGATGGCACATCTGGACCTCAATGGCATGGCTGGACCATGACAGCACAGCAGGGCTGAATGGTGGCAAGATGGATGGATTGTGGTGGAACACCTGGACCATGGTGGGACATCTGGACCCCTATGGGACATCTGGACCCCTATGAAACATCTGGACCCCAATGACACATTTGGACCATGATGGCAGAGCAGGGGCTGGATAGTGACAACATGACTGAATCACAATGGAACACCCAGACCATGGTGGGACACCTGGACCTCAATGGGACATCCAAACCCCTATGGCACGGCCATACCAAGCGAGGCCCATCTCCTACCGGGGCAGGCGGGAGCTGTCGAAGTCCCGGAGGCGGGGAATGTCCTCGGTGGTGTGGGGCGATGGTGTCAGTGTGGTGGTGGACAGGCAGCCGGAGGAGGTGGTGGGTGAGGATGCAGCAGTGGCACAGGGGATGTCCTCACCGGGGTACCACACCTCCATCCCCAACCTGCAGGGCGGAGAGCACAGGGTGCGTGCTGGGGGCAGCAGGCCCCTGCCCCCCCAAGCCTCCACACTCACCCTCTGGCTGCCTCTTCCTCTTCATCCTCCTCTTCCTCCTCCTCCTCCTCCTTCTCCTGGGTGCACTGGCTGAGCTCGCTGGCCGAGGGTGGAGGGGGCAGCAGCTCTGTCCAACTCACCGCTGGCAGTTTCACCGCTTGCCCCAGCTTTGCTTTGGCCCCTGCGGCAAGGCAGGATGCTGGGGGGGCTGTGGGGAGGGGACTGCACCCCCGGCTCCCCTGTGTCCCCCCACCCATCCCACCACCCTACCGTGCTCAGCCCATCCTCGGGCTGCCTGGGTGGCTGCAGCATCCATCGGCTGAGGACCCACCCCGGGATAGGGGGTCCCATACTGCGAGAAGGGACGGGGGAAGGTGCAGAGCTCCTCACTGTCCGCCTCGATGGTGCTGTAAACCGGCCCCTCGCCGGCCCCCGCCCCAAACTGCTCCGTCTGGGCGATG